GCCTGCTGAGCCCACCTTCTTAATAGAACCGAGGACCACCTGCCCAGGGATGGCACCACCAACCATGGGCTGCACCCTCCCTCAGTGATCACCAAATGAGAAACTTCCTTATAGCTGGATCTCATCGAGGCATTTTCTCAACAGAGGCTTTTTTCTCTGATGACTCTAGTTTGTGTCAAGTTCACACACAAAGCCAGCCAGCACAACATGGCTGGACTGTATGGTATATAAATTACATTTCAGGGTTAGCTGTAATAGTAATAGCAAATTCCTCATGGGCCACACATAAGGGCAGCATTGTCTACCAGGATCCTAACAAAGACAAGAAAGTCACCAAAGAACACAGATTACACATTCTAACTGCTTATTTTAAGGATTTTTTTCTTTCTATTTTCCATGTTGATAAAAACCTTATTTTTAAAAATACACTATATATTTGTATACGTTTCCTACAAAATATTGGCAAATCCATAGGTCCTAGGCTCTGGTCATCTGAGTTTTGATAGCATCTGCTCCACCGTCATCTAGAACCGGACACTGGCTTCTGCCTCTTGACACAGATGACAAGCTGGGACCTCAGAGAAATGGCAGAAAGAAAGAGAGGCCCCCTGGAGTGGTGGCTTTTGCGCAGTGTGCTTTTGGCAGTATGGGGTAGGGAGTCAAATGGGGCAGAGTTGGGGGAGGGGCTTGCTTAAGGACAGCCATGCCCAGGAGAGAGGAAGATAAAAGGCCTGAATGGAGAAGGCTTTGCCCACCAGGATAAAGCATTGGAGGAGTTGTGGTTCCAGCCACCCACCAGGGGAGGTCTCTGTAAAGAAAAAGAGCCAGCCAAAGAAACACACCCTGAGCAGAGCCAAAGAAACACACTTTGGCCCTGCAACCAGAACCAAAGAAATGCACCCTGACCCTGAAACCAGTGCCAAAGAAACACACTTTGTCCCTGAAATCAGAGTCACATCTACCCCTGGCCTTGAGCAGAAAACCAATCAATCACTGAGCATGAGATCTAGCCAATCTGAGCTCAGGGATTGAAAATCCCCACTCTGGAAGTCTTTCCCTGGAAAAAGGTTGCCCCTAGGAAGCCCTATATAAACTCTGTGCCTGTTCAGCTTGTGCCTGTCCAGCTGCCCGGCTGTCCTTTTCCACCTTGGCAGAGGAAGCACTATCCTGGATTCTTCCCTCCCAATAAGTCTCTTTAATGAGGTTTGGGTGAGACCTTCACCTGAATGGAGCAGAGGAGAGAAGTAACTTTTCCCAGAGCCAGAGTAGAGAGGAGCGGAGCAGGACTGGGGAAACTTTCCCCTAGTGAAGTGGAGTTGTTTCACTCCTACACGTCAGGGGAACACTCCTGGAACCTGAGCCGAACTGTAACAACTTTGATACCCTGGAGAAGCCTTTCCCTGGAGCAGGGCTGTAAGCTGCTATACTTACTGTGATCTGTGGTAGTCCTTGGCTCCCCGATGCTGGAATAACTCTCCATCTGAGCTGTAATACTTAGTATTCTTGGTTCCTAAGTGCCAGAATCCCTGTCCATCTGATCTAATCCATCCTAACACCGTCTCCATGTAAGGACCAGAGCATTAGGAACCAAGAGGACTGGCAAAGCTGAATGGAGGCCTACTGGCTGCTGTGAATGGCTCCCGTGTGCCCTGTAACCATGGGTCTCAAGTTGAGCAGCACTGTCTGTACCTGGATCCATCTCCCCTATCCAGCTCAACATTCCTTAGTAGGAAGACTACTGAAGGGCCCAGTTTCTGTGTCTGCTGGGTTCCATGTCACCAGTCACCCACCAGCATAGCTTCCCCCTCTCTGTCCTCTCTCCTCTCTCCCCACCCCTAAGTCCCTGTCCTGAAGTGTCCCTCATCTCTCTCTCTTTTTTTTTTTTTTTTTGGTTTTTCGAGACAGGGTTTGTACTGTTTTGGAGGCTGTCCTGGAACTCGCTCTGTAGACCAGGCTGGCCTGGAACTCACAGAGATCCGCCTGCCTCTGCCTCCCGAGTGCTGGGATTAAAGGCGTGTGCCACCAACACCCCCCAGCTGTGTCCCTTATCTTAACAACCATCTCTACCTTTCTGTAAGATTCATTTGGAGTGAATTTCTGATTTAGGGTCATGCTAGGATTTGAACTGGATTCATGGGCCCAAGAGAGTAGCAGTAGTACAGAAGAAATGTGGTGGCCTCACACAGCCCCCGAGGGGCACCTTCTAGGCACAGGCAAGCTGACTGCTTTCTCCTGCCACTTGTGAGTCTCCTGCCCAGCCAGCTTCTTCTCTGGGGTCTCCTGCCCAGCCAGCTTCTTCTCTGGGAAGCTGGTTTAATTCTCGAAGATGTGTGAGCTATGGGTCCATGACCACCATGGCCTGTGTTGGAGACTGTTGCTCCTAAGTGAAGTACTGTGCTTGCTCCTGCAGACAACATCAGAGACCTCAGGTAGAAAACGCCATTTTTCATCAATGTGCTTTGCAAACACATCAGCTGGGGAGATGAACGAACCACAGAAAGATTTAGGAAGAAACAATCAGTTCCTTGCAGGCAGTGGTGGCACATGCCTTTAACCCCAGCACTTAGGAGGCAGAGGCAGGTGGATTTCTGTGAGTTCCAGGTCAGCCTGGTCAACAGAGCAAGTTCCAGGACAGGCTTCAAAACTACACAGAGAGACCTTGTCTCAACCTCCCCTCCCCCCCAAAAAAGAGAATCAGTTCTTAGCAACACCTAAATTGCTTCCAGCTTACAACCTATGCTTCGCTGCTTCTGTGAGAAATGCAAGGCCTTGACCCCTGCAGACGGCTCAGTGCTCTCAACACCAAGAACAGGAGCTGTGTCTGCACCACCTGAGGTTCTCAGCAGTGATCTGCCCTTCTTGACTGAATCACACTTGGCCTAAACCAATCCCACAACCCCTTTCCTCTTGCCAGTGGTTGGTTCAGCTAATTCTGACCTTTGGGATCTAAGGAGAATTGTGCAGCAAGATTTAGACTCTCTCCGTTCTGGACACTGCTGTGTGAAAAGCGTAGCACCAAGCACTATGTGGTAGCCGCCTCACAACCACGTGAGTATAAGGAAAGATGGAGGATTAGCCTTTGACTTTGAACAACACAGCCTATCTCAGAAGCCCCTTGGATTTGTTCAGCAGCACTGCAAGTGTCCTGTAGAGTGAGCAACTATCCACCCGTTTCCCAGGACTAGGAAAGCATCAAGGATTCAGGGCTGGAACATCCTGGGCTAGAATCTTGGGTCTCGCCTTATCCATCTGGACAAAACCTTATAGAAGATAGCAATGGTTGTTCCAGGGCTCAGAAGAGGCTTCCCAATCAGGGTCCCACCCACCGTGCCTTGTTTCTCTCCCTTCCCAGCAGAAATAAGATTCTGCAGAAATTCCTAACCCTGAGCGATCTGCCAAGAGAGGAGCTTGGCAGCCCCTGCAACTTCTGACTCAGACCCATTAACCAGAGATGACTGTGTCCGGATAATGGTGAAGCAGGCTGACTGACCCCACACCGGCTATTGTCATTCACTCCTGTCCTCTGCTTTGGTCCCATCTCTGTTCCAAGCCATCACAGCTTCCCCAAGTCTCTCCAGTTTCCCTAAAACTTACGAGAATGAACATTTACTCAATTCTCCTAAAAATTAGGTAATTCTAGCTGAGTATGGTGGTACACGTCTTTGATCCCAGCACTCAGGAGCAGAGGCAGGTCCTTGTCTGGACAGTGAGTTCCAGGACAGCCAGGGCTACACCGTGAGATTCTGTCTCAAAAATCAACAAAGAGTCGTGTACATTTCACATTCCTGACCACACTCATAAAGAAAGAGTGTTGTAAATCCCCCTGCCCAGGGAGTCTGGCAGATTCACACCATATGACTGATGGCCTCTAGTAAGGACAGGGAATAAGTTTGTGTTAATCCACCCTAATCTCCAACCCGCATTTGCAGTTCCTCCTAGTGACTCTTCTGAGGGCTGACAGTCACAACAGGGGCAGCTCCCCCTGGATGATGGATTGCCTGTTACCACTTTCACCCCCATTTCCTCAGTCCTGAGGTGAGAGGTGGAATACAGTCTCCTCTGACATCTCTGCCTCGTCCAGCTTCCTTTGAGACAGAATCCAGGACAGAGCTCCCCACAGCTGTGACAGCTGCAGACAGCCCCACAGAACCCACCAGCACCAGCCCCTGTCATCAGACGGCCTGACGAGTGGCTCTGCTCTGCCCCAGCTCTGTTCTTGCCTGGCATCTCGGGCAGTAGCTTGGCCTGTAGAGAAGATGCAAGATCATCATAGCATGGCCTCTGGATATGGACACAAAATGTGAGACCAGGTACAGCGGCTCAGGGTTCTTCTCCTTGCTACTCAGGAGGCTAAGGTGGGCTGCTCACTTGAGCCAAGAGTTCCAAGCCAGTGTGGGCAACAGCTTTCTCTTAAAACAAACAAACAAACAAACAAAAAACCCTGGTGGTAAGACTGGACTTCTAGAGAACTGGGTTAGACCCCAGGGCTACCTGCCAAGGCCAAGTCACCTATACTGTTATGCTTATATGTTGCAAAAATGATATCTGCTCATGATACCTGTCTAAACTCACAGCAAATGTGTAAGAGAGTAAAATGACTCTTGGGACCACCCAACCGGCCCACACTCTGGTCATGATATGATTATTGTTCCAGAGAGTTTCTGTCCACACAAAGCTAACAGCATTGCAAAATCAGGTGTGAAAGGTACCCTGCTAAGACACACACCCCTGAACTGAGGGAGTATGGCTGTATTTGCACACAGGAATTATTCTAATTCATTTATTTTGTGATACTGGGAGTTGAACCTAGGGACCACTACTTTCCAGGCAAGTGCTCCATCACTGAGCTATAGCCCAGCCCTCTTCCTCATTTTTTTTCTCTTAAAAAAGGGTCTAAGTTACAGACACACACCAACATGCCTGACTGTGATGGGGGTAAAATTCACCATCTCATGCTTGCTGGAAAACTTTGCAAACTTTGTTTTTCTTTTTTGCTTTAGGACAATTTCATTAGTGTTTAGGAAAAGACCACGGTACCGGTTCCCTGAAAATCCCAGCAGCCTCCAGGAGAGATGTTTATTTGGAGGTAGAAGTCATCAGAGAGCTTGCTGGAGCTGGTTCACTCCTTCCACTCCGTGGGCCCCAGGCATTGAACTCAGGCCACCAAACTCAGCATGGGTCAGCAGTCAGAGCGTTGGATCCCCTGGAGTTGGAGTTATAGATGGTTGTGAGCTGCTGGCAGGGGTCCTGGGAACTGAACTTAAGTCCTCTTTAAGAACAATGAGCATTCTTAACTGCTGTGTCATTTCTCTAGCCCCCAATATTTAACATTTTTATGTTAATATTGAACATGTCAATGTCCCCATTTACCTTTCATTGACAACACTCAGGAGTACTTGTGTCTGCTTAAGTTTGGTAAAACAATGTGGGTTTTGTTTTTGTTTTTGTTTTTGTTGGGTCGTTTTTTATTTTGTTTGTTTGTTTTGTTTACTGCTTAAACTGCTTCTGAGAACTGCCTATTGAATGCTTTTTAGACCATGCTCTGGGTCTCCAGCCTCTTTGGTAAACCCACCCGGCCATAGGCATGCTGATGTCCATTTAGGTTCCTGTTGCTGAGTGGCTAACCAGACCCGCCCACCCATCCCTTCCATTTATGCCTTGCACTTCTGTCTTAACTGAGAGGAAGAACTGAATTTTCTTGTCTTACCCCACTCCAAAGGAACAGGCAACATTTCTTGGGGTGCTGCAAAGTCCCCCAGGTCAGATCAAAACTCCCACATGCAGCAATTATATTTCTGCCTCCACATGGTCATCTGGACTCTGAAAACATGACATGTTTACAGTCAGCATTGGGGCTAGCGAGTGTGGCCTCCTACATTACTCTTTTCCAGGTTCCCTAACTGCTTCCACCTTAACTTAGACTATTTCAAGTTTGAAACAAGCGCCAGCCAACCCATGAGGAACAGACACTGTGAGCATTGGGAAGGCTGGCAGACACTGTTTTCCCCAAATGAGGAAATGTGGCCGTTCTAATGATACTTCTGAGATCTGGCGCTGGAGCCTGAGGTTAGGAAAAACCATACAGCCGGCTACCAGCGGGAGTGCCAGGTGACACACACACACACACACACACACACACACACACACACACACACCAGCTGCACCTGCAGGAATCACCTCCCTGGGTGATTCCTCTGCAGTAGACCTGAGGGGCAGGAAGGAAAGCAACTTCTCCTGAGGTCACGGAAGAGAGGGCCTCGTCACGTGCCTGGGGTGCCCCTCTCTAGTCACCAGCCACCCACAGGACCCCAGCAAACTGGGGTCAGGAAGCACATTCCAGAATAATGCTGTGACCTGTGCCAACTGTGTGGCCATGAGGCTGGAGGACAGCCTTGGTTTCCTCAACTTGACATCTTGTTTTTCTTCCCTTTTCTTTGCTGAGGAGGGACTCAGGGATTAATGCAGGTTAAGCATGGGCTCTACTGCTGAACCCCACGCCAGCTGCTCATCTGAACTCTGTTTGGGTGCACAGTTTGTACATTACGTGCATTCAGAGCCATCACCAACACCCTCTTCCAGAAACCCTTCCTCTTGCAAAACCGAATCCCTGCCCCCATTAAACACCAGCTCTCTGTGACCCTGGCTGTCACCATTCCAGTACTGGCTCTAGGATCCGACCCTGGGCGCCTCACAGGTGTGCAATCACACGGTATTGTCTTCTGCTGTCTTTCATTTAGCATAATGGTTCTATTCTGTAGCATTTTGCAGATAGCCATCATTTTGGAAGTGGGTCACCATTCCATTTCATGGACAAACTTACATCATCTACCACTGCTTGCCCTGGACACCTGGGTCACTGCTACCCTGGCCTAAGAAGGGTGGACCAGGCAGATTTTTTATTTTATTTAATTAATTAATTTTGCTTGAGCACAGTCTCACTACATTGGTCAGGCTAACCTTAGTCAAACTCCAGGCTCAAGACATCCTTGCCACTACAGCTTCCTCAGTCATCAGGGGCCACAGGCACATTGCACCTTGTCACTTCAGGTTGACTTCTGTGACAGACTGAAAAGAGGTGAGCACCAAGGCCTCTACCTCCCTCCTGATCACTCTCTTCCCCAAAGCAGCCTCTGTCCCCCTGCACTGATCCCATCTTATCAAGCACACGTCGTGTGAAGCCAGAGCTCCCCCTTGGTCCTCATCCTGACCTCTCCATCCAGGTCCACAGTTCATTCAGGTTGTGTTGCCATCCGGCCTTCTGAGACCCCAGAGCCACCCCCCCAGCTTTCCCTGCACCCCAGCTGTCTTCAGGACCAGCCAGAAGGCCCCAGGGCTCCAGCATCTACTGTCTGCTCTGGGCTGTAGATCCCACATTTCCCTGTCTACATAGCTTCTCCACCTGAAAGAGAAAAGGTGAATAGTGTGGCTGAGTGTGAATTGTTCCTCCTGTTGGGGAAGTCCTGTGTATATGTCAATAAATTACTGCTGGCCAATAGGAATCTAGATAGGTGGGGCTAGGAGTCCAGGAGGATTCTGGGAAGGAGAAACACAGGAGAGTCAACATGTAACGCCATGGGGGTAGGAAGCCCGGAACTATTCTCCGGTAAGAAACATACTTAGATTAACAATTATGGGGTAATTACTTAAGTCAGAGCTAGCCAGTAAGAAACAAGCAAGGCCAACAGCTTCATAATTAATACAGCGTCTTGTGTGTTTATTTGGGGACTACAAAGCGGCAGAGCCCAGGTGGCTGGTGGGTGATAAACCAAAGCGGCTAGCAAAGATAAAGCTTCTCTTAACATCCTCCAAAACCCAAGAGGTGGGAGAGGCCAACAAGAGGTCTTTCTCTTGAGGTCAATTTAGTTCCTGAGGGATGGATTAGCTCTCCAGATAACAAGTTATTGGTATAAAGTGAGCATATCACTCCCGTTTCCTCAGATTCAGTCTCTCTCTCTCTCTCTCTCTCTCTCTCTCTCTCTCTCTCTCTCTCTCTCTCTCTCTCTCTCTCGTGTGTGTGTGTGTGTGTGTGTGTGTGTGTGTGTGTGTGATACAGCCTGACAAGGGCCTTTGAAACCTCAAAGCCCACCCCGAGTGACACACCTCCTCCAACCAGGCCACACCTAATCCTTCCCCAACAGTTCCACTAACTGGAGACCAAACATGAGAGCCAATGGGTGGATTCTCACTCAAAACACCACAAGCAGTAAGTAGCATCAAGGGCGGGGTCCACACATGTGCGGGTAGCCTCAGTTCCCATCTTCTCTCCTCACAGCCACTCCATCTGTCTTCCTTGCTATCCCCCCTAGGGCTCCTCAGCTGAACCACTGCCATCACCTACCCAACATTTGTTTATTTCCCATGCTCTGTCCTTCATCCTTTGACAGTTGTTGTTCATCCTGGCCTCCAATAATACCATTTTTATGTTTGTTTGTTTTTCAAAACAAGGTTTCTCTGCATTGTTTTGGAGCCTCTCCTGGCACTGGTGCTATAGACCAGGCTGGCCTTGAACTCATGGAGATCCTCCTGCCTCTGCCTCCCAAGTACTGGATTAAAGGCATGCACCACCACTGCCCGACCTAACGATACCATTTTAAACTGTGAATTGCATCATGCCTGGACTGGCCAGAGCTTCGGGGGCTTCTGCCTCACTAGCCCCTCCCAGTCCACTTTCTACAACGGCCTCACAGGGTCTGCAGCTCACATTGCCTTCTTATTGCCTACTCCAGCCCCATCCCCGGTGCACGGCCTTTGGATATGCCATCTGCAGCATGTCCAGCTGTCCCCATTGTCACATGGTTCCCTCTCAGATCTGTTCAAATCATGTCACCTACTCAAAGAGGCTTACCAGGGTAGCCCCTGTCCTTGCTGGCCTTTCTTCTTCACCTGACTCTGCTTTTACCCCTTTGCCTACCATTCCCTGCCTGTGTATTCGAGTCTGCTTCTTCTATAAGCCCGAGCACTCCCGAGTCTCACTCACTGGAACATCGCTCAGGGGCGGGTGATCTAGCCAGAGAAGCCAGATGGAGTACATATAGGTGAATCTTAGGGCTACTCAGCAGTGCTAGGCCAAAAGCAGAGAGAATAAAGCAAACAGGGGGGCCAAGCAGGGTGGTGCATCTGTAATCCCAGCTACTTGTGAGGCCAGGACTTGTGAGGCCAGGACTGAGAACAGCCTGGAGAACATAGTATGACCTAGTCTCGAAACGAAAACAAATAAACAACACCCTACAAACACTGGGTTTATCACTTACTCAGAGTCAAGTACCACAGGCTATTTTAAATAAGATTAGGAGGCTGCTTGCTGTGCAAGTATGGAGATGTGAGTTTGGATCCCAACCACTCACATAAAAAACTGATTATGGTGACTAGTTTCTATTACCCCAGTGTTAGGGAGGTGGAGACAGCAGGATCCCAGGAGTCTTGCTATCTGGCCAATCTATGAGCTGAAGGTCCAGTGAGAGATCTATAACCGCCTGGCTGAGCAGGAATCACGGATTTCTAAAGAAACGTGTTCTACACTTCAGCCATCAGACGATTAAAATGAGGCACCTGGAGGAATGGCGCCTTCTCCAGGAACTTCATGCTGTGGGAAGAAAAGGGCTGAAGCCTGGGGTGCCACAGGGACCCGTCTTGCAGAAGGAAATCTACAACCTGTCAGAACACCTTTAAGAACAGACTGGAGCGCAGACAATGATGGGACCACACCTTGCCCAGGACTGCTTAGCTTTGTAGAATTCTAGCCCACTGTTTAAAACTAAACTTCATGTTAGGACCTCCAGAGATGGACTGGGGGGCAGGGCTGTCACTGGACCTCCTTGTCCATTTTCCCAATTTGGTCACAAGGAATAAATCTTCTTTTTCAGCTTTCACCACTAACTCATGTTTCATTCAGCTTAGTAAGGATGGATGACTGAGTCTGCCTGTCAGGATGGCCAGAGCACAGGCTCTGACCTAGGAACCACTCACAATCTTGTCCCAAACAATAAGGTGGAGGGTGGAAGGGGGAAGACTGAGCTCAAGGTTCAGTGAGAAACCATAACTGCCTGGCCCAGCGGGAATGAGGGATTTCTAAAGAGACTTGTGTTCTGCACTTGGGCATCGGATGATTAAAACAAAGCATCTGGAGGAATGGTGACTTCTGCAGGGGCTTCACACTGCGGCTCAGTGTCCACCTCTGGTCTCCACATTCAGCCCCTCCCCCCGCCCAGGGGCTCCAACACTCATCTGGTTTCCACAGGCCCCACCCACATAAAGTAAAAATTAAAAAAAAATAATCTTTCAAATTACTCAGGGCCAGGAAGATAACTTAGTGGGTAAAGGCACTCGCCATCAAGCTAGCAACCTGAGTTTCATTCCCAGAACTAACTTGTCCTCTGACAATAAATATTTTAAAATTACCTTGAAGAGAAAATAAACAATGTCTGCCATCTCATGCTTTACCCTCCAGTCTGTCTGGTTTGAATACATTTGAAAAGGGGGCCACAAC